CTGCACTGCTTAGGGTAAGGACCAGGCCTGAATGCCGCAAATCAATCTGAGGGAGCTAATGTGAGATAGCAACCCAAACTGTGGGCTAGCCAGAGAGAGGGAAAAAAAAGGAGAGAGAGAGAGAGAGGGACTTCCTGACTGACTTGTTCAGTGGTTAACACGCTGCACTTCCACTGCAGGGGGCATGGGTTTGGGGAACCCCACTGATTTACACAGCAGCCAAAGAGGAATAAAAAAAAAGAGAGAGCCTCCCCAGCAGGAGGCTCGCTTCAGACCAGCCTCTACCACAAATTTTGTAAATGTGGGGAAGCAAAAGTACCACTAGATGGGGCAGGAACAAAAGACATCTATTTATTTATAGTTCAAGGAACACCAGCAGTCTTCAAAGGCGATCTTAAAGAGATCCCTTTCTGAGTAAATGCAAGCTTAGTAAAGCTTGCTGAGTTACCTCAAAAACCTAGAAAAATCTTTGGCAAAATCAGAACTAGAACCTCATTCAATAATTTACTCCATGTTCCTTCCACAAAACCATGTTGAAATGGGAAGATTCTTTTTCCTTCTTACACAGAGAGTGTTATCAACAACAGTGTAGTTTTTTTTTCACACTTCTTAACTGAAGGATAAGAATTGTATTGGACAACACTGAGGGACCTACTTCAGGCAGTAAGATGAAATTCTAGACAGGTTCATAAATACACATACTCTCATGGTCCTCCTGATCTATCTTCTCAGGGTCAAGATCCCAACAGGGTATCACACTGATTGCCTTTGAAATTCAGGCTGCCTGCTACTCTCTCTCCCAGCAACTGCTACCAGAATAACTCTTAAGAAAATGAAGGCCTCCAGTCAAAACAGCCCTCATCAAAAAGTCTACAAACAAAAGCTGGAGAGGATATGGAGAAAAGGGAACCCTCTTGCACAGTTGGTGGGAATGTAAATTGATACTACTATGGAGAACAGTATGGAAATTACTTGTGAAATGGGGAATAAAACTACCATATGATCCAGCAATCCCACTACTGGGCATATACCCTGAGAAAACCACAATTCAAAGAAGACACATGTACCCCAATGTTCATTGCAGCTGTATTTACAATAGCCAGGACACAGAAGAAACCTAAATGTCCAGACGAATGGATAAAGATGTGGTATGTGTGTGTGTGCGTGTGTGTGTATGGAATGTTACTCAGTCATAGAAAGGAACAAAATTGAGTCATTTGTAGTGATATGGATGAACCTAGAGTCTGTCAGAGTGAAGTCAGAAAGCGAAAAACAAATGTCATATATTAACATATGTATGATACCCAGAAAAATGGTACTGAACCTATTTGCAGGGTAGGAATCCAGATGGAGTGGGGGTGCAAACTGACAGGGCAGCATTGCCAAACACACACAACCATGTATAAAATATTAATAGGTAGCCAGTGGGAAGAGCTCAGCTTGGTGCGTTGTGGTGACCTAGATGGGTGGGATGTGGGGAGCTGGGGGAGGCTCAAGAGAGCGGGACAGATCTATACATACTGCTGATTCACTTCTCCTGGACAGCAGAAACCACTTCAACACTAAAGCAATTACTCACCAATTAAAGTGTTTTTATTATTATAGAAGTGAAGGCATTGACTTCGGATGAATCCTCACATAACTTGAAAGTTAGGTTTTATGACAGGAGGGAAGAATGATTTGTTGGTTGTTTCCTAATGGGCCTTTTTCTTTGTTTTCCTTCCCTTTTAGCAAAGAAACCTGACTTAATTCTTGCAGGTGGGGGGATAAATTTCTTCTGAAATTCCTATCGCCCCTTAATACTTTGAATCCAAAGATGGAGACAAAGATGAAAAGCAACGACCATTAAGGAGCATGACTTCCACTGTTTTGAGAACACACTAGATCTTCCTGTTAACAAGTAAGAATTCATGATCTCACACAAAAAAATCACCGCTGTTACACATCCCAGGACTGATCGGGATCAAGTTCAGCAGAGGCAAAAACCTGGACAAAATCCGGAGAGCAAGAACTAGGTTGTGATACACTGATAAAGGGCAATAAAACCAAAGGAGGGGAGGAGGAAAAAACCCTATAAGATAGCCAACTATTCAGCTCATTGCCCATTCATTTGGACGGATTTTGGAGCTGCCTCCACTTGTCCTTCTGACAAGTTTTATTTGCATGCTCTCCGGTCCAATCTGCAAGCTTCGCGGTCCACTGATAGCAGGGGAGACAGACACACACAGACGGACCCCCTCCATTCAGGGAGAAAACAGACCCTCCCGCTACCCTCCCCCTTACCGCCCCCCGCAGTCCCTCAGGCTGCAGGTGTCTGAGCCGAGTCCCGGGTGCAAGTCCCACAGCTCAGGGAAGCGCACCGCGCGCGGGGACCCCGCTCCGTTCCTTTCCCTGCGGTTACAGCCATGCCTCGGCCCACCGAGCGACCCGCGGCTGACAGAGCCCAACTCTTCACGGCGGCAATGGGCACCTCCGGAGAAGACCCGGGCCGACCGCGGCCTCAGGCGGGGAGCTGGGGCTGGGCGGACGGGCCACCGCAGGTTCCCGGGAGAGGTGAGCGAGCCAGCGGCTGACATTTTTTGTTTGTTCCACACTGGATGGTGGCTGGCGGTAGGCCAAGGCTTTTCCGCCCGCTGAAAGTCAGCGAGAAAAACAGCGCGCGGTAAGCAAAAGCACAGCGCCTACGCCCGTCTCAATTAGGGTTAGATGAGAAATGGCTGCCACCAACCCGGGGCCCACCCTCCGCAACCCGTCGCGCCGCCGGCTGCGTCTCCTTATGAATGCAGCAGTCGGCCCCTACGCGGATTGGCCGAGCCTGTCCACCGCGGCTCTCGCGATAACCGGTCTCGCAATTTTTTTTTTTTTCCAAAAGTTCTGTTTCCGGCCTAAAGGATAGTCGCCGCCCCACCCCACGTTTCTTATTCGCAGATTTGAATCTTTACTTCCGACATGTGACCTTGTGACTTGAAAATTAGCTTGAGTGCTTCTGAGCGCTGTTTTCCACCTCTTAAAAACCAGGTATGGCGCACGATATCATCTTAAAGAAATGGAGTTCATAGAAAAAATTTAGGGCCAATACAATGATGCTCAGTTCTGATCATCACATTTGATAGAGAACTTTAATAGATTCCCTAGCAGCACCGACTAAACCAGAATCTTGGTTCGGCTCATTGGGCTGCCTCTGAGATCCTAACCTGTTCCCTCCTCCTTAGAATGTTCTCTCAACTTTTTAAGCAGAGGATGTTTTTATGACATATAACTACTTCATTCTTGATCTTAATATTAAGAACTGAATCTCCCTTTAAAGGCTTTTCAATCACAGACTTTGCTTTAACGTGTCATGATCACGTTAAGAAAGAACAATGCACCATAAATTGTAGCAGGTTTTCATATTCGCTGGTACAATGCTGTTTTTCATATAATTGGCTGATCTTAAAAGTAGAACTTTTCAATTGGGTGAACTCCATGGAGCTGCCACTATTGGCACCTCTAAATGAGAGAAAAGTAAAATGTTATGGGGATTGATTTGATACGGGAACAACAAAAAGTACTAAACGAAAATTTTCACATTTTATTTCCTTTCCCTAGATTTCCTGAAAAGGATCATCCATAATCGTAAAAGGCTGGAGTCTATTCCATGCTAGTTGTTGGGTTAACTGCCTAAGAAGCCACAGTTAAATTAGTTAACCCAGTAAGCTACTTTGGGAATCACTTTAAGTTTTTATCTCTTAATCTCTTTAAAGCTCAGCTTCTTAATTTGTAAATGGGAATACTACTTGTCTTGCCCATCTCTCTGAGCTGTTATTTAAATTAGGTAACGTGTTGGCTGAGATTTCTTATAGGAAAAAAGCAATTTAAGAACTCTGAAGTGAGGGGGTTGGGATCATTCTCTCTACAATGCTTGTGAATCTAGTGAGTACCTCACCAAATGTTCAGACTGCTCTCAGATATTCTACACCGTATGCAGTCTAGTAGTTGTGCTTACAATCACTATTAAATGGGAAACACATGTCAAAAAACGAAATGCACCTCTTCTTAAATCTTTCCTTCAGGCCAAACTGAATTACTTCCTGCTGCTTGTACATAGCATCATTTTTACACCTTGGAGCCTTTGCCCTAATGTTCCCTCTGCCATCAGTATGCTTTTCGTCAGTTCTATATATCTGCATACCTACCGTAGAAGTCATGAGGGAAGGAGACAGAGATGAAGAGAAAGCCCACAACTCGTCTTCTAAGAACATATCTAGTAAGGGAGAAAGACAAGCAAACCAAAAGAAAAGCCTGCATAAATTGCGATCAATAAAAGTTCAAGTAGTATAATGTGCGCTGAAGGACACAAGTGATTTTTGACTCTGCGCAGGAATTAGCAAGAACTGGACCTATAAATTGTCTAATTCTCTAAGCAAAGTAACATTTTGAAAGTGCTTGTAGAAACATTATCTTCTTTGTATTTCATAAGGACCCTGGTGAAACAGATAGGGATTAGGATTAGCAACCCCATTTACCAATGAGGAAATTGATATTCAAAATGTTTAAACAATTTGTTGAAATGCAGCTGGTAGGCTGGCAGGGCCTGGACCTGAATCCACACATCCTGCCCCTAAGTCCAGAGGGATGGGCAGTCTATTAGATTTAAATTCCAGCTTCAAGTTCAGCCCCAATGCCAAATCTATCAGAAAGTCTTTCTGAGCACTCAAGGTGTTTTCCCTCCTACAAAACCCCACTTCACATTTCTCTTAGGACACTAACCCACTTTGCATCTTATTGTAGTAGGTATGAATTTCATTTCTTACACTGGACTGCTGGATTCCACAGGACACAATCTGACTCCTGATTTAGCACTTACTGCACATAGCACAGTGCTTTGCACAGAGCAGATACTACACTTTGAGTTATGTCAACACTGCCAACATTCTCTCAGCCATCTTGGTCATTTCAGACCCTTCGTTCCCCTTCATAACTAATTAAGCACCAAGACTTGTCAGTTTTTCATTTCTTGCTTATAATCTTGAGTGTAAGACTTGACTTCTTTATATCTAGACTAATAACTTTTTAATTGATCATTGAATCTACAGGGCCTTTCCCAGTGCAATTTATCCTCCCAACTACCACCACATTCATCTTAATTTCTTTATGTCTCCTGTTTTCAAATCTCTTGCCTATACGACATTTAAAACAAAGCCTTCCAGCCTCTGGCCTTAATTTACATTCCTAGTCATTGCTCTTAGTCTGCTCAATAAGAGCTCTTCATTTTAACTAAACCAGTGTATTAAACATGCCTTGAATATGCTTTGTTCCTCCTCATATCTAGACTCTTACTCATTTCCATTATGCTCCTCTGAATATCTGTCCTTTTTTTTTTTTCACCCTGCCATGCCCATCCTAATGCTACCTCATTCATGATGGCTTCCCTCTGCTATGAAATCTTCCCTCATAGCAAACTTCATTTCATAAACTTCAACAAACTGAAAGCTATATCACTCATTTGGCACATACCATGTTGTACCACAAATTGCTCTCTCTCTCTAAAGGAAATGTGAGATCTCCAAGGTCAAGAATAATGTCTCCTCTAGCATTTAACTTGCTTCCCAGGTAGCACTAGTGATAAAGAACTGGCCTGCCAATGCAAGTGGTATGAGACATGGGTTCAATCCCTGGGTCGGGAAGATACCCTGGAGTGGGGCATGACAACCCACTCCAGTATTCTGGCCTGGAGAATTCCATGGACAGAGGAGCCTGGTGGGCTACAATCTATCGGGTCACAAAGAGTGAAGACACAACTGAAGTAACTTAGCATGAGCATTTAATTTGGTTCAACTCAGTAAGCATCTATTATTTGACTGCTTCTCCATTATTTCCACTATAGAAATGCAAGAGAGATGTGGACATTCCAATAATTGAAATATTTTCTGTCTTCCCAAACATGTAATATCCAAAGTTTTCTGTCACATATACTCAAAACATTTTCTCCTAACCATTTATCTGTAGTCAGAAGCATCTCTGGTGTACTATATTGGGTCCAACTTCTTTATATTCTGCAGCAGTGATCCACATGTCCTGGAAGGCAGACAGGGATGCAAGAATAGAGCCTCCCATCCACACTGATGTTTTCCTCTCTGGGAGAGCAATAACCTGCACAGGGGTGTTGGCAGGTACCATCTTTGCTATATCCCTAACTAGACGTTTATCTAAACCAGGGAAAGAGGTTGATCCCCCAGCAAGGATAATATTGGAGAAAAAAGCATTCCTCAGATCTGCATCGCATTTCATTATGCTGCTGAAGCACATCTTATCAATGCCAGGGCTCTCAAGGTGCATGAGACTTGGAGAAAAGAGGGCCTCTGGACAATGAAAGAGCTGGCTATGGAGCTTGAACCTCTTCCCATCAGGTAGTTGGTAAATCTTCTCTATACAGTCAGATTTCTTGGCCTTTTCTTCTTCAAAGTTCATTGCCACATAGCAATAGGTTTCCTTAATGTCCATGACAATCTTTCTGTCTGAAGCACGAAGCAGCATGATGCCATCCTCCTTCAACAGCATCATGAGGTAGTTGGTGAGGTCAAGACCTGCCAGATCTAGCTGCTGGACGCCATGAGGCAGACAGTAACCCTCAAAGGTGGGTACACACTGGGTAACCCCAGCACCTGAATTCAGCACAAAGCCAGTTGTGAAGCCAGCAGCAAAGAGAGCTAGCACCCCCTGAATGGACATAAAGAAGGCAGGAACCTCCAGATGCTCAAAAAACACCTCAGTGACCCGTTGCCGGTTGGCCAGTGGGTTCAGTGCTGACTCTGTAATCAAGACTGGGCCATCACAGGGCTTTAGCCTGAGGTTATCATCATAGATATGCTTCCACATGATCTCCATGTCCCCCCATGAAGTAATGAGACCACGTTCCACTGGGTAGCTGTAAGAAGAGCAATAAGATAAATGGAAGCTTTAAATTTTTCCAGTTTTTACTCTCTTCAAAACTGGGTTAATCCTCATTTTTATTACCAGTATCCCTTTATGGGCGGTGACTGCCAGCGCCTCTAGAGATGGTAACTGCCAGCAGAAGATAACCTAGCTACCTTCCTCTGAATTTTTTTGTTGATTTCCATCTTCTCTGCCCCTTTGGAATACCCTTTTAATTAAAAAGAAAATAAGGAGATCTTCACATAATAGTACAGTTTTCATATAAGTTAGTGAAAACANGGAGCGGGGGAGGGGGTGGGGGGCGAGAGAGCCCCAGGCAGAGGACTCGATGGATGCAAGGTGCGCCCTAAAGTGCCACCTACAGTTGTGTCTCACTCGCCCTGGACCACTCATCACCCCCTTGGAATCCAGGAATACCATTATCAGGAAAACCTGCCTTTCTTCCCTCAAAAGCTTAATAAAAAAGGCTTCACAAAAAGCTGTCTCTAATAACTCCATGAGCTGTAAAACCTTTTATTTCTCAACGTCATTAAAATGAAGTCGCTCAGTCGTGTCCGACTCTTTGCGACGCCATGGACTGTACAGGCTCCTTCATCCATGGAATTTTCCAGGCAAGGAGACTGGAGTGGGTTGCCATTTCCTTCTCCAGGGGATCTTCCCGACCCAGGGATCGAACCCGGGTTTTCCTCACTGCAGGCAGACTCTTTACCGTCTACATTCGGTTAATAGATGTCTGTCCAGGGTCCTGCAGGAAGTTCTCAGATGCGCCCTTAAAATCGACAAAAGGTGCAGAGATTTGAACGGGGAAAGTGTAGAAGGCGGGGCACGGTTCACGCTTCTGAACTTGTTGAAAGAGAACTTTGTCAATTTTTAAAAGGAGAAAGGGGGAAAGTGCCAGGATTTAAAGTGGGTTTAACATACTTTTATTATATCTATATATAATCGGCAATACTTTGTTTCTTTCCCCGTGGTTTCTAAACAAAGTGTACTCAAAACCGAAATAGTACCATCTCACTTTTAAATTTTTTTTAGCAATCCCATCAGATTACTCCTCCAATCCCCGCCCCCGGTGTAATATGGAAGCTCACTCTCATTCCTGAAAACTTATTGATTTTTTTAGACATCAGGGTGTATCTGCTTCTTTCCAGGGTAAACGATATTACTTAAGTCATGAGAAGTTCAGGCTTAGAAAATTCATGCTCGCTGTGTGGCAAAAAGTGCATCTTGATGTCTGATTAAAAAAAAAAAAACACCACCCTGAATTTTGCACACCCTATAGAAGATTTTAAAACTAAGTGCTGTCTAAAACTAGTACAGAAGCAAGGGAGGAAATTCAAATCTAAACTACACGTCCTTCCACGAGAGGCTGAAAGCGTCGCTTTCTCTCTAGAAGCTAAGATCACGGCTGGGGAGTTTGGTTGCGCAGTCGCCTTTTTCTAGCTAGCCAAAGCCCCGAAACACACCCGAGACACTCAGCAACAAAGAAGCTAATATACTTCTTTTCCGTAGAAGAAAGTAAACCTCAAAGAAGGGCCAACTAACGTGTGCCCAGTTTCTAACCAGGGGCTTTGAAAACAATGTACGTAAATTTCAACTTTTGAAATGGTAGCACTGTTTAACTGGACATATGGTCATTTCCCGTTGGGTTTTCTTTGTTCTTTTGTTAAAAGTTACGTTAACTTTCTGAACCGCGTGCCACAATAGAACTATGGAGACCTATGAGGGAGTTTCTCAACGTCGTTCTGTAGGCAGGTTTCCGTAGTGTAGTGGTTATCACGTTCGCCTAACACGCGAAAGGTCCCCGGTTCGAAACCGGGCGGAAACAGCTTTCATTTCCTTTTCCTTTTTAACAGGAGCAAAAGGAGCCTGCGATCCTCCTTTTCTTACTCTTTTAAAAAGTAAAATTCTGATAATAATTTGCAGTACCTTGGGAATTTGAACTTTTAACGTAGATGTTATTGAACAAATATTCTTATTAATGGCTTGTACGTGGAAGAAGTGTTCCAGACTATAAACAATTGTTTTTAAATTCAACTCACAACCTGATACTGAAAAAATAATGTACAGCCTAGCAAGAGTAATTAAACGCAGGGTAAAAACTGGTAAGCCCTGTCACCTCAGCACTCTTTGTATTACAAGTCATTCAGTTTTCCATTAGTTTTCCCATTGAGATTGTTGATTTTTCTAAACGCCAGAGACCATGTTTTGCGCTCTTTCATATACTTCATATCTGTTTGACACCTACTAGAGACTCACAGCTATCCCTGAATTAATAAATTACCGAAAAGGATTCCGACAAAAATAAATGTAATCAGAAAATTATACTCAAAGAGAAGACGAAATCAAGAACCAGACTCAT